ATTGAAAGCTTTCCGCAATCTACGATATGGATGATAACGTTTTAGAAATTTTCGATGCCCGAGATAAACGGTCTTCTTTCCTTTTTCAAGCTGATGGTAATAAGTGTCTTTTTCACATATAGGACATGCATTATGCCCTTTAACTTTATACCCAGACAAATTACCATATGCCGGAAAATCATTGATGGTGCAAAACAACATGGCACGCATATTGAACTGTTCGCCAGAATACGCATCAAAAACATCCACCCCTTCCTCCCACAACACTCTTAAATCATCAATCAGTGGACTTAGATAAACGTCTATGTCATTTCCTGGTTGTTTTGGGCCCGATATCATCATCGATAACATAATATATTTACGCTTCATGCACAACCTAGGAGATAGGTTGTAAATCATCAAGAGAACAGGCCAAGAACTATGGTTAGTACTCAGATTACCGAACGGATTCATTCCATCAGTAGCAAGTCCAAGTCTAAGGTTTCTCGACTCTTTGCCAAAATTTGGAAACAAAGAATCTATTTTCTTCCATTGCAAAGAATCAGCTACATGACGAATTTGTCCATCATATTTTCTTTCTTCTGCATGCCATCTAAGATTCTTTGCGTCATCTGCATTGGCGAATAATCTCTTGAACCTTGAAATTATTGGTAGGTACCATACCACTTTCGCAGGAGGACCCTTTTTTACCACCTCATCATCAATTGACTCACCATCTTTCTTTTTGTAGCGTGAAGCCTTACACTTTGGACAATGATTATACTTTTCATACTCTTTTCTGTATAATATGCAATCATTAGGGCATGCGTGTATCTTTTCATACTCCAAACCCATTGGACACAATATTTTCTTCGCCTCGTAATAACGACTTGGTATTACATTACCTTCTGGAAGCATTTCGGTCAACAATTCAAGCAACTCGGTAAAACTTTTGTCAGTCCACCCATTCTTTGCCTTCAGATTAAATAATTTTAACACGGCTGACAGACGTGTAAATTTTTTGCATCCCGGGTACAATGGTTTATCCTTGTCATTGCATATAGTATCATACGTATGTGCCCTCTTAAACGAATCTTGTCCAATATCACGCATCATGTCTTCTAGACGATCATCCATTTCTACACTAACACCATCTCTTTGAGACACGTTTGACTTTGCTACTACTTCACCGTGCCATATCCATTTTGTATAACTTTGACAAATCCCTACACAAATTAGATGATCCATGATTTCTTTCTTACTACGTTTTGGTTCTTTATTTGCACAACGAATACATGGACAGAGAAAAAGCGTAGGAAGACTTTTGTCAGCATTACTTTCAGCAAACTGTAGAAATTCCATCACTCCATGTTCGTACTCGTCACTTAATCGATTAGCTCTCATCCAACTACGATCCATAACTATGTTCATACGGAGGAAGGTCTGACGAACGGTGTGTCCGCGGCTGTGCTACTTCACGGAGATTCCGAGATTGCAAGTTGCGCTGCTTCGCGGAGAAAGACAAATAGAATCAAATTTCAATGGCAAGGTGATAACTCTATTAAGTTTGATAGGTTAAAGATAAACAATGTGTTTCTGAGAGGACCATTAATTCTTTTGTCATAGGTTTCTAAATTTTCCGCTTCTTTTATTTGGTGAGCATAAAAATAGGAGAAAGGGATTCAAATATAATAGTATAATAATAGTAACAATAATGGAACAAAGTATAAAACACACGAGTAACAAAGTGTAATTTATATGAGGCCAATGATTAAACTATTTTTGGCCAATGATTAAAATATGAGGCCACTTTGTTATTTTCAAGTTTATCTTTTCTTCTTCAATTTTAACTCCTTTGATGTTTTAATCGTATTATATATATTTTTTTATTTCTTGTTAGTAATAATTTTTAAATCAGTATATATAAACACTACACTAACACAAAGACACTCTCTTAAATTTTTTTCAAAACCTTGTCCATATGTTTTTCTCAAACCATTGTTCTTAACAAATAAAATATCCAATTATTTTGAAAAAACACATTTCTCATTTAACAATTTATTACTAATTGTTATTATTTTTACACTTTGCACCACTAATACATAACTGATTCTCACTGGTTTCCTTTTCTAATAATTTCAAAACGATCACCATATATTCAATTTTTGTCTCAGAACCTGTAAATACTTAATAATATAACAATCTTCATGTTTCACTCTTCACCATCATGATCATGAAATTTCACACTGCACAAACACTAACATACACCATATTTTCTTGAAACAAGTAGCTTGTTGCATTAGTTAAAGTTACTAAGTTTAGTATCTATAAACATGTATAACTTTATCTTAAGGAAGAACCATAGAAATTTAAACTATCGTATACTAGCCAACTGCATAATATTGATATGTAATGTAACATAGCATAAATGCATAAAAATGCTGAAATTGTAATGAAAAAGAAAATGCAAAAAAGAAAAGAAATAGAATTAGAACGAACCCCAGAATGATTTGCAGAATGATTTGCAGAAGACGGGACCGATGAATCGGCGACGAGGAAGCAGTAGAATGGGTGTTGGAGGCGGTATGCGTCGCGGAAGTGGTGTTGGCGGTGACGGTGTAGGCAGCGACAACTATTTAAAATTGTTATCGCAAAATAAAAATTGATTCAAACATGAACAAACCCCCACAAGCAAGAATAACATATTAACATGATAATGACATTGAAACTACAACCAAATTAAAATCAAGTGAACATATTATTGACGAACAAAAATCTCATTCAAATTTAAAACAAGCGAAAAAACAACCTCGCAACACGATCACAAGCACATTGACAAACCGAAACTCCATTATCAACTTCAACATACCGATGTCAAACTATAATTATCATATCATCAAAGTTTATCTTTCGATTCCAAACCAAAAATCTCACAAATGTATGAATAGAAATGAAATGTATGATCAGAAATGCAGCAAAACTTCCACTGTCAAACCAACAGAATATCAGCTATTCTCGCTCGAAAATATCAGACCCAAACAGCATATCTAACTTGTTTCAGCCAGAAATTACTTCAACCACTTGTTTTCCGAGAACAGAAACACAATTTAAACAAATTAGTACATTGATGAAAGGAAATCGAGATTTACCGATAATGACGAAATCGCTGTGATGCAAAGGAGTTTGCGACTGAAATCGACGCGGCAAACTGAACTGAAATCCCTGTACTGAGCTGAGACGTCGCGACGTCGTGACAGTAGGTGGAGGCGCGGAGGGTCGTTGTGGAAAATGGGTCGGAATGGTGGAAAATGGGTCGGAATGGTACTGAGCTGAACGTCGCGGCGAACTTGACGGAAGTAGATCGTGACAGTAGGCGGAGGGATCGTTGTGGAAAATGGGTCGGAATGGTGGAAAATGGATCGGAATGGGTCGGAATGGAAAATGAACAGTTTTCGCGAATAAAAGAAAATAGTGTTTAGAGTTTTTTACATCGGTGGAAACCCCCACCGATATAAGGGGATGGGCTATTACATCGGTGGAAACTCCCACCGATTTAATAGTTTGTTTTTTTTTAATACGTCTTAGGCTATTACATCGGTGGAGACTCCCACCGATTTAATAGGTTGTTTTTTTTTTTAAAAATACTTGTTAGGCTATTACATCGGTGGAGACACCCACCGATTTAATAGGTTGTTTTTTTTTTTTAAAATACTTGTTAGGCTATTACATCGGTGGAAATTCCCAACCGATGTAATAGATTACCTTTTTTTTTTTTTACCCACGTTTTTATGATTTTTCAATATAATTTATATATTAATTCAAAGAATCACTTTTTACATCGGTTTGTGTTTAAACCGATGTAATAGCTTGCTTATATTTTTTTAAACTTTTTTGTCACCTTGTTTCTTATTTACAAAAATGCCACCGTGTTTTTTTTCTGGAAATCTTTTACATAGGTGGATGAGATTGCCCGATGTAATAGGTGACGAAAAAAAATTTTTCCCTTATTTTTTATATCATTGGAAATAAAACCTGATGTAAAAAGTTTGTTAACTGTATTTTTTACATCACCTATTTTGATACCCGATGTAAAAACCTTTTCTCAAATGTCTTTTTTTTAGTAGTGTTTGTTACATTTTATGATTTTGATGATCTTTTGAGTTAGTGATGTTGAGACCAATAAATAATTTATTATGAAGTTTTAATGCTTATTTCACTGCTTTAATACATGTTTTATTGAGAAAGATGATTGGTGAGAATGTGTAACACCTTATTTGAGTAATTTATTCACATGACATTATAAAAAATGAGTTGAGATGATTAAATATAAATTTTTTAAATTTCAAAAGATATTGATAAAAATAATGAAAAATCGATTTAAAAATCAAATTTTAAATTTTTTTTCCGAAAAACTCAAAATGAACAGTTATTTATAAATAAAGTGTTTGTTGTTACAAATCAATTAATCACATGAATATTTTACTAGTTTTCTTAAAGCATCTTGTTGTCTTTAATTTATTTACTTTTTTTTTATGTGTGATGAAGTTCTATTTTAAAGATTTTTTTTTAATTTTACCTATTTTCCATTATTTTGAAGAAAAAAAATGCAATTCATGTAAACAAGTTTTTCTTTTTGTACTTCTAAATTATTAAAAAAGAAAAGTAGTACTCCTTTATTAATTTAGTACTATTTAGAAAAACACACTTATTAACTCTACATATGTATGCTTAAATAGTACTATGTAGGCATACCAAAGAGACAATTTCTCTAGACCAAAGAACACAAACAACACACTACAAAACTAACAAAAACAACACATAACTCAAAGTTTCCTTCTCCAATGACACCTCTTATACTACCAACCAATCTCTAGTAAAAATCACAAATTACCGATTTTAAATTCACTCTCTTTAACAAATAAACTCTTGTAGTTTTAGTTTTTGTGAAAGAGTAATATTTGTGAAAGAGTGGTGAAAATTTTAAAAAAGTGTAATTTATGATTTTACCTTAATTAATTAAGTCACTTATGAAAGAGCATAGATAAATCATAATTTGGTGTTCCCACAATAGGAGAATCAATAAATTCATAGTTGTCATAAGCATCATCATCAGATTGAGAATCAAAGGCTGTTGTTGCTGTTGTTGTTGAGACATTTGCATGCATTGGAACATTGGCAGCTTCTTCATTCATAGGAATTTTGTAGTTAAAGTTGCTATTTGCACCCCCTTGTTGACCATAGAAATTATTGTCCATTTGAGGTGGCATGTTTTGGTTAAAGCCAGGAGTTGGAATCATGTTCATAACAGGCATTGAACTGTTATTCCTCTTGTTGTTTCTCTTCTGCTCAGTACTTGCAGGGTAGATTTGAGGCTCAAAGTTCATGTTGAGAGATGGCATAACATTCATGGGGGTGTTCTTCATCTCAATACCTGAGTTAATGATGTCCATCAAATCAGAAACATCTTCTTCTTCTGAGAAATTACCTGCATGGTTATCAAATCGAGATTCAAAGTGTCAATCAGAAGATCTTATTCTTAAGCATGAATCAAATGTTAGTATGAATGATTCTCACACGAACACTGAGACACAATCATTCTGACATGTAAATAAAATAAGACAGAGACACTACTATACATAATATAATAATATTTAAAATTGATTTATTATTAAAAAAAGTTAAAAATATTCTAATCTAAATTTATGTATGACATGTAAACAAAATAAGACAAAGACACTACTAGATATAATATAATACTATTTGAAATTCATTTATTATTAAAAACGTAAAAAATATTTTAATCAAAATTTATGTCTTAAATTCTTCAATGATAATATTTCTTCAACAAATATTTAATCATTTTAGACGAGTATGAAATTTGTCAAGTATGTTGAAATAAAGATAAAAACAAAAAAAAATTTGAAATATTTCTCTCACGCATATTGTATGAGTCTTGTACAAGCGCTGAAATAAAAAAAGAAATGTTTTTTTAGTGACACTTGTTTAACTTTACGAGTGTCATACAACAAACCTACTCCTACATATGTCTGTGATTCATACTAAGATACTGATAATCATGATTACCTCTATGATGATTGATCTGATTTGTAGCAGCAGGTTTCACAATTTGTTCAAGAGTTGTTCTAGCAGCAGGTTTGTCATTTTTGACAAATTGATGATTTTTTGAGCCTCCAACTCCAACCATTTGGAAGTGATTGTTTCTTCCAAAGAGGTGATTGTTACTTTCATTCTTATCTTTTTGCAAAGAGAAAAGCTCATAATTATGAGTAATACTTCTCTTACCAACTTCACCTTTTCTCTTGTTAGAAACCTCATAAGGTGGCCCTTGATTATGGTATTGGAATTGAAGATTAATAGAACTATTACTATAACCTTCATGATTTTCATCAAGCACTTTAGCTTTTCTCTTATTAGCACCACTTTCATCAAGATTGCTCATTGGAGACACATTCCCATTGTTGAAAAGTGTTTGAACATGGTTCTCTTCTCCACCACTTCCAATAAAAGCACTTCTATCAATCCTCTTAAAAGCCTCAACAACTTGATCAGCCATTTTTCCATCAGAACCGCCATGATCAAGACGGGGAATAGTTTTCTCAACCCTGAGGCTATTAGCATCATCGCTCGATGAAAGAGGTTTTAGCAATGGTAATGGTTTTGCTCGTTTACGCTCTACAACCTCATCAACATCATAATCATTTGTCTCAACGAGAAGACAGTTACTTCCAGTAGCACTAGAATTAAGAGCTGCGAACAAATCAGGATACTTATTTCTAGCAAGTCTTTCCTCGTAATTTATAACAGCAACCCAAATCGATGTTTCCTTAGCCGTGAGCTTATCTTGTAAACTCCTCGAATGTCTAACAACATCCTTAATCTTCTGAATGTTCGGAGATATATGTTTAATGACAGAGTGCAGAACACAAATCTTCCAAGCTTTCTTCAAATCATGCGGCTTTCTATACGGTGGTGGACCAGGATCTTCGCTAAATCCCATTTCGTTCCACCACGATTCTCTCCCGGTTGGCCACCACGGTGGATAAATTCCTCTGTCCAACGGAAACCTTCTCTGCGGTGGCTCACAATGTTGCATTAACGATGATAAAAGTGAACCTAATGTTGTATCAGGTAGTTCGTGCAACGAGTAAGGTGTTGGTGAATCACCATTCAACATTTCCTTCATTCTTGAAATTCCACTTTCTTCTTCATACTTTGCAATTGCAGCCGGACCATTTCTGTCGAATTTCACTCTTTCTTTCCACCAACCTCGGAGATTGTCCGAAGAACCACTCAATGGTTTCCCATTCTCAGGTACTATTCCATAGATGAATCCGCGAACGTCACAAGCTTCCATCATCTTTAACATGTGTCTGTCCATGTTACGTGTCAGCTCAGTACTAAGTGTCACAGATACTTTTAATATCTTTTCAATGAAGCGATATTAAAAGTATCAATATATCAATATATCTCTATCAGTGAAAATTTAACTTGAGAAATATTTTTAGATTTGTTACGGTCAATAAATCCATAGTTCCATATCCACATATTAAATAACATGATAAAATGTGACTGCAACAAATTCAAAATCCATAAACAAACTTTAAATCTACTAGAAAATAGTTATAAAATGATCGCTACTAATAGTAAGTATATAGTGTACCTTAAGATACCATCCTGCGCACGCGTCATAGTCTTTCTTTTCAATTGTTCATATGATTTGCATTTGTCACCTTGTCTTCTCTCCTCCTTCATCCTCCTTAATAGCATTTTATCTCTCCATATCCTTGTCTCAAGACCCTCAATAGTTAACTCTTTTTCTTTATCATCTACTTCTTTTCCCTTTTCTTGTTTTGGATTGTTTGAGGCTTCTCCCTTTGTAGGGTAAGTGACACCACCATTACCAACCTTAGGATTCATGGCTTCTATGAAATTATGTACAAAAATCAATATGCATGTCAATATCAAATTTTATTAGCGATAAAACCAAAGAATAGTATTCCTTCTAATTATTAAAATTGTATCATTAAAATTATCATATCAAATTATTTTTTAACAACTATGCATAGATTAAATTAGAAGTTTTATGAGACGGAATTAATATTAAATTTAAAGACTCATACACCAAAAATAAACAAAATATTATATCCTTAGTCAAAAAAGATTAAATTTACCCATATATATATATATAACTTTGATTAATCCAGAAACAAAATCTTGTTAGTATTTTTTTAAACAATACTTACAAGAAATATTTATATTTCCCACTAATTTTATTTGTTCTAATAATAAATTTAAAGAAAAATAAAACACATGTTTTTAACCAAAAAATATAATCAATATCATATTTCTAATATTAAATTTATGTGAATAAAAATTCTTAGGATTAGGAGACATAACTCGTGTAATTTATTATTTTTAAAGAACTGATCATTGAAAGTGATGATTAGCAAAAAGTCAAACAACAAAAAGTCAACAAAAAGTAATAATAATAGTAAAAATAATATTAATATCATTAATAATATTAATAATACTAATAATAAACTTGTCAAATATAAATAAATTTGTACAAAAATATGATAAGAATAAGAAAAATTTGTCAAATAATAATAATAAAACTAATTTGTCAAATGATAATAAAGGTAACGTTAATAATAAAATAAATAAACTTAAATGCACACTTTTTCTTTTACAAAAATTTATATAAATACACTTTCTTTTTATATTTTTCTCACGATTTATATAAATCTACCATTTTGGAATAAGAGAAAACTTACGTATAATTTTTTAAGTGTGATTTTTATTATTTTTCAATAAAATATAATAAATATATTTAAATATCGTTTAATAAATAAATAAAATTACATATAAATAAAAAGAACTTATACATTTATCATATTTACGTTGAAACATACTAAGAACTACATCTAAAAAATTATATTTGAGTTCTTTTCATTAAAATATTAAAATATTTTGAGTAAAACATGTTTATCTATTATTTAAATAATAAAAAAATTTAACTACTTAGTTTTTAATTAATTTGATAAGACGAATAAACACAAAGTTCATGTAGCATATTACTCCCATAAACTTGGAAGAATACAATTAACTAAAATGAAATAATCAAAAATTCTGAAAGAAACAAACATGACAAAAAGGGCCGCCAAAAATTTAAAAATAATTTGAATAAAATTACATATTTTGAATATTTAAAAGGCATAATCTAATCACGAATAACTCTATAAAATTTCTCCAATAATTAAAAGAAACTGCACTTACATATATTTCGCATTTATGAACGTATCAGTCTTCTCGAAGTTTATAGATCAAACCTGCATTAATAATGATACATATTATTAGTTAAGAATTTTCTCAGATAAATAAAATGGATAAACATTTTTATTGAAGAACATAAAATTATAAATGGAATTAAAAAAAAAAACTCTAGTATTTATTTTTGAAGTAAAATTTTGTAGCATGATATCACAAAGAACTCGAAAAGCATAAAGATAAAATAGATTGAAAGGTATGAGTAAAGAAAATGTACCACAAAGATGGAGGAGGAGATATACCTTAAAAAAAAGGGAGAATGGAATATAGAAATGGATAGAAATTGTTGTGAATGAAGCATATGAGGAATACCCAAACTATTCTTAAATACCCAAAATGATATGCAGGTATGGTAAGTACTCAGGGTTTCCTTGTCATCTAAGATCAGGATGAGTATTTTGATGATATAATACATTAATGAACTATAATAATATATCTATTTACTATATTTTTTTAAATATTAATCCTTTGTGATAAAATCACTTTTTTTTTGTATGAATATTGCAAGAAAATTGAGTAGGAAAATTATTATTTATAATAAAAATATCTATTTTTTAAGACTTTTTTAATTATAAAAAAGGAAATATTACTTTTCTATTTGACAGGGTGGTAAGGAAAAAATATAATATAAAGAAAATATTTTTCCATTTCAATTTGTATTATATACATTTTGTAATTTATATCTAGAATATACCAAAATAAAAAAATAAAAAAATAAAAAAAATAAAAGTCTAAAAATAATAAACAAATAATATAAACTTCATATGATAAATTTTCAATAAATATGGAAATAAAATTAAACAGAAAAGTCAAACTACCATTAGTAAGAAAATTATTTCAACTATGAAATAAATTTTTTTAATAATTTATTTATTAATAGTGTAAAAGTCTTTCTGGAGGTCATTTTAGGATAGGTTATGCACTAAGAGACTCCATAGTTCTCTATTTATCATGATGAACACTTATATATATCGTCTATTCTATAAATTAGTCCTTCGATTCGTGAAAATGTGAAAAGTGACGTGTCTCAATCCATAAAAATTTGAATAAAGAGTACGAGAAAATTGATCATGTTCTTCTAAATAATAGAAGATTAATTGTCTTATTTCCACACTTCTAACAACTGTTGTTACTTTCTTTAAGCATAATATTCATGTCCATGGATTTCTATAACTACCTCAAACTTAAAATTAAGAGGAGGATTCGATTCACTACATAAAAAAAAAAAGACTATTACACACATCTTCTCACGTCTCTGTGTGAGATAACTCTAATACTATAATAAACCTTAAAAAAATTTAACAATTAGTGATTGTCACGTATTAAACTTTTCGTTAGTATAGTTTATACATAAATTTAAATTTTAATATAAACAAATATGCGTTGTTTACCTTTATTTATATTTATATATTAATATAAAGAAGTTATTGATATTTATAAATTAATAATTTTTATTAAAAGAATTATTTTTCTTTTTGGAAATATTAAAAAAATTCATTTTAACCATATATAAAATTTCCTTTCTTTGAAGGAAAAAAAAGAGTTTGTATTTATAGTTTAAATTTTGTTTTATCAATATAAATGAAAAATTAAAATTAACCAAACCACAATCATATAACAAATACCATATGTTCTTCATATAAATTATAAAATCAAAAGGAAAAAAATGTTTTTCATTTATAAAAAAAGGAATTTTTTTACCAAATCAACGTATATTTATTTTAGTGATTAAATAAAATAATTAAAAAATTTTGAAAAATAATATAACATATCAATTTTATATTAGTTTTTAAATATATTTCTACAATGTGTAATTTGCCTGGTAAAAATATTTTATTGGGTTGAATCATAAAAATTAATTTTAATATATGTGTCAAGAAGAATATCATTTAAATATGATATTCATATTTTTTTTCATTTTTCATTTTTTAATAATAATGATTATATTAATAAAAGATATTTTCTTAATTTATAGTATTTTTAATTTATATAAGAGAAGTCATTTTAATAATATAGGTTTGACTTTGTGTACTAGTCAAAAAGTACATGTGTGCATGTTGTTCGAACTGCAGTATAGCGACAAGGACCAAACGATTTGGAAGTATATTTTCGGAAAAAGATTATCGTCACCACATGGATCAGTGCATACTGAATTGTCGTTCGATAACTCCCACGTTTATGAGTTTGAGTTTGAATGGGTTAAAAGTAAAATGTATTAACAGGAAAATAAATACACTATTCGGATAGGAGAAACTTATCAGGCATGAAAGTAAACTACTCGTCACAAACTTAAACATATCGATCAGTTGTACTCAACATGCAATACTCGTCAATATCATCAATATCTCTCACATCAATGTCCATCTCTGCAACACCATCGAGACGTATCACAACCAAGGTCATGTCTAACCCAAATTATGAGAACAATCGTGTTCTTGCGTCGAAGGTGTCTCGCGCGAAACAACTCACAGAAGCATTAAGCTTTGATACACAAGTGATTGTTAAGCCTAAATCCATCTCTAGTGTTTAGAACCTAACAAATTTCCTTCCCTAATCAAGACTCGTGATGTCTATCTCTACAACAACACAAATCCAAACATAAATGCAAAAAGATCAAGAAAAGCAACAAGATTGATTTGCAAAGCATATATTATACAACACTATGGTCATCACATATAATTATGTTAAGAGTAAATATACAAATAAAACCCAACAAAAGAGAAGTACATAGAGAAGAAACAAATTAAAAATACAAATCTCATGAGTTGTTAGCTCCGATTGATAAGAACTCTGCCCCTGGATCCTCCATATGCAAGCTCAAATGTTGTTTTCTTAGCTAATCCTATCAAAGAATGAAGGTTATGAATTTGGGGTTCATAACCGCCCTAACCGGACTCAGCACGCTAAGCGGTCTAAACCTAAATTTACACATTAAACCGCCTAAATCCCTCTAAGAGGGATAAAAAATCATGCTTCTTCCAATTGCTCAAAACTTCAGAGCGCGCCAGAGGATGCGCTTAGCGGGCTCACCGCGCTAAGTGGGCTCTACTGAGCTTTTATTCCAGAAACTACGCATTTGGAGTTGTGTCTTTGACACCTTATTCCTCAATGTTCCAAATATACGATAAATACCTACAAAATAGAAGGGGGGAAACTATCAAACGTTACACAAATGAATCAAAAACACAAATATACACAAAGTAAACATATTTACACATAAAGTGGGGTTTATTCAAACGATGTTAACAAAAAGTATCGATAAGTGCAACAAAACTTATATACAAAAATAGTTATAATTTGCACTTATCACATGTTACCCCTGTAAGGGCATGGGTAATCGGAGGTATTAGTATATGTATAATAATTTGTGGGGGTTAGGGCTTGGCCACGACGGTGAGAAGCCCTGTACGATTGTGTTTATGGCGGTTTAGAGGACCTGCTTATGTGAGGTGAGAGACTATGTATATGTGTTTGGTGCATAAGTATAAGCAATGAGTTAGGGTCTCCCTTTCTTTCGTTGGAGGGAGAAGTATTTATAAAGACCTTTTAAGCCTAGGATTTAGAAAAATCTTTGGGGTGATAACTGCTCC